TGCAGAAACATGCAAAGGAAAACATAGTTTATCTTCATCTCCCTTTCTCTTCAACAATTCAAAGAACACTGTGAATAAGTGCAAAAAAGCAGTAGTACCACTTGCATGGACTCTGAAAGTAAGCCCTATTAAATTCAGTAGGACTTAATCTCTGGAGTGTACAAGTGAGACTGGGAAGTATTTTTCAACCAGTTTTGTACTGCCGGCAGCTGGTAGAATAGTAATGGATCTCTCCAATCTCTACTCCCAAGTCTGGAGTGCAATGCTACTTAAACCGTAGTTCTATCACCGTTGCTCCACTACTTTTCTCTCCCAATGTCTATACATCTACAGGTTTTTAAACCTGGCTTCAGTTGCATTAGATCACGTATTCAGTCATGACCTTGGTTAAAAAGTGTTCATCCAATCATTTTTGTGAATACTGTCAAATTCAATCAGTCAAATTCATTGTACCAAGGGGTCCTCAGCAGGATATATACAGGGCAGGATAGAGATCAGGGCTTCCTCAATCGAGAACAAATGTTCATCCTCTACTTGAGGGCAACAGTAGCGCATGAAGTCCGCCAGCCGCAGAAGGTACTCAATGTTGTGGCCAGCGCGCCCACTGGAGACTATAATTTGAGCTGCAATATCCTCTTCAGATGCTGGCCCCAGATAGGAGGGATTCTGAGGTGTTGCAATATAAACAAGGGCTAGAATAGGCTCATCTGCCTCTTCTTCCTGGGGATAAAACTTCAGCAGCTTGGTGTCATAGCCTCCAAGCACTGCTTCCCGCATGTTCAAATACTTAAGGACAGCAGCAATTTGATGCCCGCGAAGTTCATAGCCAATACCCCATGTGCACCCCTGCAATGAGAAATCAAATTACAATTTACTTAGATGTCTGCTTCATTAAACAGAATTACTTATCTACATAACCTATACAAATAAGCAAATGCAAAAAACTAAAAAAAATGTTATCTGCCATGTTTCATCTCATTTCTAAACAATATCAGATCAGTTAGGCTAAAAGTCAGGTTTGTGATGAAAAAAAAAAGAGTTCTGAAATGGCTACTCATTTCTTCCAAATGAGTTATCCACACAGCAATTAATACTATTAACTTTTGCAAAAAGGGCCAGGATGACCACAGTATCTTAGCCACGTGCTGAATTCTTTTCAGCAGTGCTACCTTTTCTCCAAAATTGTCAAGATCTCAGCTTTTCTATCATTTAAATTATATTCACAAACATTGGCTGGACTCCTAGATAAGCAGTATTCTACTGATCAAACAATCACTCATCCAAATGATAATTGGATAATTACAGCTGCATGTCAAGTAACAGAACTACCAAACCTCTAGTTGCAATGATACAATTCACTCTCCACCTTTCCCCTGCCTACAGCAAAAGAAGGTAGGTCGTTCAGAATAATTACTTGGTTTTAAGCCCTCTTCCCTCCCCTCCAAAAAGAACTTTTGATAGGCACGCCAGTTGCTTAAGAATGCAGGCACAAAATACTTACATTATAATCTTCCTGAAGGGTGACCACTCTTCCAGGCTAAGAGAAGGGAGAGAAAAGAGGCAGTTTTAATACGCAGTACTGTTTTGCAGACCAACATCAGAAGCACAAGTTCTGCCATCTCAAGGAAGCATCATTGGTGCAGTCCAGCAGCTCCCTACTACCTCAGCATTGGGAGGCTTCTCCAAATTCTGCACAATGTCAAGCCAAGGGAAATCAATAAGACTCCACATCTGTGGACTCAGCTGAACCTACAGTTTCCCCCCCCCCTCTAACTCCCTGGAACACCAAATTCTTGGTTTATCTCTTATTTTCCAGTTCCACCACCCACCCAATCATCCCCTTCCGCTATACCGGTGGGATCTCAGGAGCAGCACATCATCCCTTAGGATCATCCACTTTTCCGCCCGCTTAGTCCCACGTGGGAAGGACAGCCCCTTACCGTTTTTTCGTTACCCCGGTGGAAGGTGTCCCCTTGCCAGAAGCGGCGGCTGTAGCCCCGGATATAGCCCACTTTGCGGGAAGTGAATTCAAAATCAGGTCTCCAAACCAGCGAACCGTAACCGAAGACCCAGAGTGGGGACTTGGGCGACCCTTCTTCTGCACCGGGGGGGTCCTCCTCTTCCTCTTCGTCTTTCTGAAGCCTGGACGGATGCTCTGTTCCGCTGGAAAGGGGCCGAGAATGCGGATCCCCCTTCATGACTCCGCAGGAGGAGGTGCGCTGGTGGATCTGATCTCCGGGAATGGGCTGAAGGATCAACTCAGCTAGTCTGGGATCTGGCACAGAGAGGGCGACCGACCACCCCAACACACAAAGCAAAACCAGGAACTGCATTACTCCCCAGGTCTCCAGCGCTTAAATACCAGCTTGCCGGTAAAACCCCGCCCAGTTGTCACGGTATCTCGGTTCCCGCCGCCTCTGGTCCAATCAGCGCTTTCAGAAGCAAATAGTCCTGCCTTGAGAACGGCTTACCAAGATCGGGTTGGTCAAAGCGGTCTGTCACATAGGAGCAGAGCGCGCCCGCTGATTGGTTTTTCCCTTGGTCCGCTGTCTCAAAAGCAGATGATGCAACTTGCCAAGGAGCTTTCGAGGGAAACAGAGGCGGCTGATTGCGTCAGGCTGCTCTCGCCTCGGGCGCAGCTTGGTGGAAAAAGAGGGAAGGGTTCGGTCGGAGGAAACAGGCTTTGTGGGTGGGTCGTAAGGCATGCAGACATATTTATATTGACTCTGTCGGGCATTTCGAGATTATGATTTTGCTCCAGTTTCCTAAAGGTGTGAATGCAAATAAGCATTACATCTCATGTATGTAGATCAGAGTTTCTCAACCTTGACAATTTTAAGGCATGTGGACTTCAACTCCCAGAATTCCACAGCCAGCATTGCTGGCTGTGGAATTCTGGGAGTTGAAGTCCACATGCCTTAAAATTGTCAAGGTTGAGAAACACTGAATTGTAGATACAGATGTAATGCATACACTGAAGTGGATTCCTTCCTGATCATGAAAGCGGTACTGGTGAAGGAAACAATTTCATATCAAAATATTCATTTTAAACCACTGGTGAAAATGGGTCTCATGGCGAAGGTAGAAATAATATGCTTGTGAGGGCAGCAGTGGCCCCTCAAGCCTCTTGTCCACATGCTTTTCTCAGATTTAGACAAAGGATCAGGCCCATTTGACCAATCTTTGCCCCCCATCTGCCAAGAGATTAAAGACAAATGAAGGAGTTCAAAGGATCCTGAAGAAGTAGATTCTACTTCCAGCCCACCCACTAATGTCGTCGGGGAGGGAGGGAAAGACATGAAGCATATCCATCATCAGCTGTCATTTCTCTTTTCTTTCCCATAATATTTCTTTTAATTTTAGCACCCAGAGTAACTTGTCTGTCAAATGGGCATCCATATTTAATAGTACAAAATAGATAAATTCTGTCTCTAGATAGCATAGCCACGTGCCTATGGCTTCTTGGGAAGGGTGAGGTTAAAAAATACATACCTGGGAGGAAGGCTAGAACCAGCCTATCCCTAAAGCATCATCATCATCATCTGCCTTCTGCTTTGTACCACCCTTCTTACTTTTTCATTTCAGCTTTACAAGGTGCAATTAGTAGGGTGCCAGTTTGGTGTTAGTGGTTAAAGCACCAGGCTAGAAACGGAGTCCTAGTCCCTCCTTAGGCACATCGGCAGCTGGACTACCTCCAGCCAATCACTCTCTCTTAGCTCTAGGAAGGAGGTGATGGCCAACCACTTCTAAAAAACCTTGCCCAGAAAACTGCATGGACTAGTTAAGTCAGCTGCAAGGAGTCAAAAACTAACTTGAACACGTTAACAAAAAGTTGCATTGGCGAAAACTGTACAGTAATGGCAAATTCAATGTCAAGCTCTGATCCTGCTAATAGTGGAATTTCTTGTATATTGCTACTGAGAGATACTTGTCTCTCCTGGGGGGAGGGGTAGTGATTAGTAAAACCTGCTTGATGGATTGAATAAAATGTTTACAATAAACCGTGCTTACAGACTGCTGCACTATCAAAGAATAGATAGGCCCATTGGCACACATTTAGCGTAGGAGTGCATTTAAAATTACACAAGGAGCTGCTGGGCCCCATGCACCTAAATTCATCAAAATTATAGTCCTGGAACAGAGTGAGATTAAATCATGGCAAGACAGAGTCCTTGTATACAGAAGCTTCATGGACCAGGATGTTTCCTCCATAGTTCTTGACAAAATTGTACAGGTAGTCCTCGACTTACGAGCACAATTCAGTCCAAAATTTCGATTGCTAAGCAAGACAGTTGTTAATTGAGTTTCCCCCCATTTTACGACCTTTTTTGCCACAGTTGTTAAGTGATATCACTGCAGTTAAGTTAGTAACGTGGTTGCTAAATGAATCTGGCTTCCCCATTGACTTTATCAGAAGGTCAGAAAAGGTGATCTACATAACCCCAGAACACTGCAACCGTCATAAATATATGCCAGTTGCCAAGCAACCGAACTTTGATCATGTGACCCTGGGGATGCTGCAGCAGCCGTAAATGTGAAAAATGATTGTTTCACTTTTTTCAGTCCAGTTATAACTTCAAATGGTCAATAAATGAAAGGTTGTAAGTCAAGGATTACCTGCACTTCCCTCCAAGAAGCCCATAGACAACTGAGCCTTCTTCTGGACTCCATCATTCCTGGTAGAGTCTATGGCCAAGAGAGTCTTTGATAGCTTTGGCCTTTCCTGGACCAGGAAATGTTGACAACAGTGATTCATGCCTTTGTCATCACCCCTTGGCTATACTACTGGAATTTAGTTACATGAAATTTGTTAGATCGCGCAGGCAGTAAGACACGAGTCGAGTGACAGTCAGCTCTTGGTTTATTGGCAAGGCATAAGGTAAATCCGGACTGGCTCTCTGGGCCAGGGGAGCCCTCTTTTATGGGATTCCCCTGGCTTGTAATCACACAATTCCATTGGCTGGCAAGACCCTGTTGCTAGTTAGCCAACCAGCAACGGGCATG